AAGGTGGTCAGCCTGTTTCCTATGGAGGGAACACTTTGTAATTACCAATCAAAAATTTAAAATAAATATATATATATATATCTATCAAAAAATTACACCTCGTAATATTAAATTTATTATATATACTATATACATATATATGCGTATTTGAAAATAACAAACTAATTAAATAGAACTCATCCATGAATATAATATTAAATTATACTATCATACAATATTAAATTTATAATATATACTATATATATATATATATATGCATAGTTGAAAATAACAAACTAATTAAGATTTCTTCAATCTATGAATATAAAAAGGTGATAGATATAGTAGTTTAAACAAAAAATAATAATTAAAAATCTAATATATGTATATATTGTGATATTATTGAATTAAGTTTATTATGAATTTAACTTAGCTAAAAAGATATTTTACTAGATCAACAAAATAATATACGAAAATATGCTTCAATTTATATATGTCGATGTATACGTATAGATATATATTACATACATAAGCTTACTAAACAAGAAAACGAACACTGAATTATATATATGTTATATTTTAATATATGAAGGGTTAACATCAGCATTAATTCTTGTTGGGTCCCCGAGTAACTTAGCATGAACGTGAAACGTGCTTCGCGAGCCCCAATAATATAATGGTATTTTTTATATAAATAAATAAAATATTATTTTGAAAAATATAAATAAATAAAATAATTTCTCTAACCAAAGCCACGTGGTTTCTTCATACTAATATCAAAGCTCTCCACTGCATTCCTTGTTAAAGATATCATGCCTATCCTAAACTATCAAAATCTCAAAGGTCTTATTGGTGGCAATGAATCAGCACAACCCGAATTGCTAGTCACCAGTGAACCTCCCACCACCACTGTCAATCTTGCATATCTCGCATGGTTTCGGAAAGATTAAATGATCCTTTCGTGGCTTCTATCCTCATTATTAGAGGAAATTTTTTTGTACATTATTGGTCTCAATTCCTCATTCTCTATCTGGAATGCTTTAGTAACTGTATTCAGCTCTATATCTCAAAATTGCCAACTTTAATTACATATTGAACTACAAGACCTATCAATTTCATAATTTCTCTATAAAGTTAAAGCTTTGGCTGATGAACTTGCATCCACTGGTCGTCAACTTTCTTCTACAAAGTTCAACCCGATCATTTATTGCAATATAGGTCAGGAATTTCATGGAATCATCATTGCACTTAATATGAAACCTAAACCAATATCATTCCATGAGCTTTCTGGGCAGCTACTTGCTCATGAAATTCTAATAAAAAATAATCAGGACGCACCAATTGCTAATATTGTTCACACCACCAACTCTCACAAAGTTGACAAAGAACCATTTCAATCATCTTTCAACTACAATAGGTCTGCTTAATCCAAACGTATGGGATTGTGCCAGATTTGCAGCCACCGAAATCACACCGCTGATAGATGTCAAAAAAGGTATCATCCACGACATCCTGCTCTACCACAAGCCCACTACATTTATGGTAATCCCGAATTAATCTCAAGCACTCCCCATCACAACCCCCAACCATACCAAGGTGCTCAGTATCTGTCGTGGAATCCAGACATAACAACCTCCCACCATATAGCTCCGGACATTACTTTCCTCCATATTGCCAACAAATTATAATGGTGATGATCAGCTCAAAGTTGGTAATGGCCAAGGTATGCAAATCGCTCACTCTGGTTCATCTACTTACTACTCTTTCCCTTATACCTTTTACCTAAAAAATATTCTCTATGTGTCTAAAATTACACAACCTCTAATGTCTGTTCAAAAATTTATACATGATAACAATTGTTTCTTTGAGTTTTGGCCCTCACATTTTCTTGTTAAGGATCAGGTAACAAAGAAAGTTCTTCTCCACAGACCCAGTAACAATGGTATCTATGAAATGCAACCACCAAGGAAGCAAACACGTGTCAACACCACTTCCGCCTTCATTGATTGGCACTCCCGGCTTGGTCATCCTCATCATAGTATTGTCTCCTCCATCCTCAAGTCTCACAAGCTGCCCAGTTCTCACTTCTCCACTTCCAACTCTTGTTAGTCTTGTCCTTTAAGAAAACTATCTCGCTTAACTTTACATTTTATTGTCCATAATAGTCTAGTGTCATTTGAGTTAATCCACTCCGATGTATGGGGTCTGGCACTATCTCTTTCGAGTCAAGGTCATAGGTATTTTACCATTTTCGTTGATGATTTTATAAGTTATACGTGGGCATATTTTGTGAAAAATAAGAGTGAGCTTTTATCAAAATTTCTTGAGTTCAATGCCTATGTTGAATGTCAATTCAATTTCAAAATTCAATCATTGCAATTAGACTTTGGGGATGAATATCAAAAAGTAAATCAATTCTGTAAAACAAAGAAATTACTCATCGTCTAGCTTGTCCTCATACGCACAACAAACGATTTATCATAAAGAAAAA